TTTGCCTCTGTGTGACGTCCTCTTGGATACAATAGCTTCCTGACAGGTTTATTTGTCCCGCTCAGCAATATGGTGCCCCCAGGACTTACTTTTTTAGATAAGTGTTAATGTTGTTTGGGTGAATAGTTTTTCCACATGAAGTCTTACCCTATGAGACTAAGCTATAACATGGGGAACTCTTCTCTACCTTCCTACAGGCAGCTGGTGTGTGGACCAAATGCCATCGAAGTTGAAATTTGTTCTATTTGGAAGTTACTTTTTAAAGAGGTCAGTAAGTTGGACTAGCACTTGGTAGGACAGGTTTGAAGTGTTTTGAAGACTTTACCTGGGCACACTGGGTGGGGTGATTGATGCTTCAGAGGCATAAGCCATGGAGGAAAGTTGGTGAACCTCCTTTATAACTATTAGCACACATTCCTGGCAGAAGGCTACAGGGAAGAAGATAAAGCAAAGAGGATACTTGGTGCTGCATACTTATAACAGCTGAATGGTTCCCTCATGAAGACTGTGTCTGTTCTTGGAGAGCAGTAGTGGGGAGGACTGATGTCCTCCTTCTCTGCTGTAGGCCCTTACTCACGACTGAACATCTCCCATGAGCTTGCAGATCTTGCCTTGTGACTGAGCAGTGACATGCACCTGGAGTGCTCGTGCTTTCTGCAACTGCTAGGACTGACCATAGCCACATCAGTAACTCCGTCCTTTCATGTAGGCTCTTGATAATGATCTGCAGTGAAAATGTTATTGGTACAATGAAGGCACACTTGTTCTTCTTTAGTAGCCTTGTTTTAGTAGTCCAAAGGTAGTACAAAGCATTGTACAAGCTTGCTTGTGGCCTCAACAGCAGTGTAAATCAGGAGTGTGCTTTAGAATGGAGGAAAACATTTGCAAAATTCCTATTTTATAATTGCCTTGTTCACCTAGTAACTTCCTTTTCTTCTATGATATAGACGTAAGACAATTTTTTTCCTGCATAAATAAGGACACACTGCAAGACTGTTCTTCCTCTACAGAGGACAAAACAAACGCATCTTGTGGTTAAGAGGAGAGACACATATGGATGGTTACTTGCTGAGTTTGCATATAGAATTGCTGGACATGTATTTGTGTCAGCCTATAAGCAGAGACTTTGCATACAAGATACTGTTATGTCATCTGTGTTCACTTTAGCGGATTATGGATGCTACATGAATGTCTTTAAAATGGAAAAGAGCTATGAATGCTGGGACTCCAAGCTAGCATGTGTCTAAACTTTACATGGAGTTTGTTTGAAACCCTACAAAATACATGAAAAGCTCCAGGGCTCCTGAAATTGGTTGCATTTGACGTTACCAACCTTTCAGTACCCCCTGGAGACGGTTTTGAAGAGAACTCCAGTCTAGCACTCTAAAAAGTTTATTTAATTTGAACTTTGCACTTCCATCCAAGGCTGAAGCTTCATGTTTGAAATATTAATGGTGGTGCCTGGAGGCAGACTGGTCCTCATAAGCCTGTGGTATTTCAGTCCAGATACAGCTTCACTGGCCGAAGACTGGCATCCTGATTTAGTGTCTGTCTCTCTGTCCTGCTGCATGTCAAAGAAATCATTAAACTTTCATTGAGGGACCAAATTTGTCAGATGAATAATTCATTTCAGTTCCAATCTTTATGCAGAAAGCTCTTTCAGTGGCTATTTTAGCTTTACCAGGTCTACAGAGAAGTCTGTCACTCCTTCAGACAAGTCAAGTGGTGAGCAAATCTCTGAAAAACTTCATCGAATTCTTTTGTTAGCTAGATACCATGATAACCAAAATTGCATTCCCAGACTTCAGTGGGGCTCGTTGCCTCTTTTAGCATAACACATTAAAGTGAGTGATGACTGGTATTTTAAGACTGATGCAATGTAGAGTAGCCAAAAGTATGGAAGTACAAGGAAATCAAGCCTTCATTTTAGCTGTAGTCTAAGACTGATTATTTATGGGCCCACAGACCCTTAGTTCTTCTTTGCCATTTTTCTTTTTCCAAATAAATATATTCATAGTGGCTTTCTTAAATCACAAAGCATTAAAGACATTTACTGTAACTTGGTCTCTTTTTCCACATTTGAGTAGTATCTCCTGTGTAGCAATTACTTAGTATCAGAAATGTCAAGGTCACCTTTGTTAGGTGGCTACAGTGAGAAACCAACTGATGTACAGTCCCTTAAGTCTGACTTAAAGTCGCCAGCATAGATGCTGCTGCAGAGTAACTGGTTAGCAACAGTTTTTAATTACAAACACCATGAACTATGTGTAAGCTGGTAAGTTCAGAGCTGGAGGCTATTAATGCTCTAAAACAGCCGTGAAAGAACTCTGCCCTGAGATGGCAAAACAGCCCTTCAAATGGTGTTTAAGACTCCTGGACGCTGTAATGAAACGTTCTCGCCTCTTCGCACACTCGATCTCTCCTGTGTTATGTGCATCCCCTAACAAGCATTACATTTGTGTCTGCAGATTTTAAACCCCTTCTATGTGTTTCAAGCCTTCACCCTCATCCTTTGGCTGATCCAAGGCTACACTGAAATATTCAGTGGCCATCGCAATCCTGTCAATCGTTTCTGTTGGCTTAACCGTGTATGACCTCAGACAGGTGAGTCTGCCACGCAGCATGCCAGCTTCCCATCCTGCACTCTGCTAGCAATTTCATCTACCACAGACACAAGTAGCTGTATGCACTTTCTGGTTCTTTTCTATTGCTGTGTATTCTGCTGTTTTACTACAGATTTATTTCTATAGAAGAGTTAAAAGGGTCATACCTGGGAGTCTTGAACTTCCCAAGAATTAAAAACGATTGATACCTGGTCTTTGTAAGACTTCATGAAGGTGGATTATATCCATGAGTCTGGTTCCTACTGTAATTTCAGGAGGATTCACTTCTCTCAAGGTTTGCTAAGTATCGGGTGTTAACAGCAAAAAGAAGCATGACTTTTTATTTCTCAAATTTGTTCAATGCTTCTGTCACAGACACAGCTGCTTGGAAGCATTTTCTAATAGTCTCGGCTCATTCGCTTTTTGACCTAAAGCATTCACTTGTGATAAACCTGAAGCCTTCAGTCTCTATGGCAAAGGCAAATAGATTGAGCTGAGCCTTACACAATGTTTGCCTGCCACTGAGTATCCTCATGCAGCTGGATGAGCTTCCTGCTGCTTCCTGCTGGAAATGCAGAACACTCTCACTGGGAGTTGGGAAAACAGTTCTGTGATTTCTGAGCCCACTTTAAATATACAGGGAAGGCAAAAATCACATGGAGAAAGGATATAATAGGGGAAAAAAGAGAAACTATGTGAATGAAAGTACAGATGGGA